CAATGAAACCCGTTTTTATAGGTTTCACGCGAGCTAAAACCGGGAGATGAAATCACATGTTTTTATGGAGAAGACTTTTTCGGAGAGGGTAACGAGAACTGCGAATGTGTAACGTGCGAACGGTAAGTTTCTTGTGAATAATTACTTCAGAGCCCTCGCTATGATCGATTTTTTTTGTAGAAGTTTAGTCATCCACATTCAAAGTATTGTTTAGACGGGGAAAAGGTGTGTTTGCGAGCAGAGAAGAGAATAGTGACAATGCTTCGGGTAGCAGTGTGGAAATGGAAGAAGTTAGCTCTTCACAGCAGAAGTATGGTCTTCGTGAGACTGATTCTCGTTTGTGTCGGGCTAGTGTCACGAGGTAATTACGCCTAGAAATCCTGAGTAGTGGTCTGAGATATTGAGAACCTTTCACTGCGTTCTATGTAAAAGGTGTTCTTGCTTTAGTCTTACTAAGTGATAGTGCTTGCGTACATATCTTGGTCGAATAGAGCGTAGATCATCGATGTGCTAAGTGCAATACGTTTTGATCGGGCACCTGTGGTATCCTATCTGTCATTTTAAGGAGGAGGTCAGGACATCCCAGGCGTGGCGTGCGTGCCAACCAATTAGTGTTGCTAGTTAGTTGACTCGACAAGCATTTTGGCGTCAGTTCAATTTTGTTATAGCGGCCTACCATATCTTTATTTTGCGGACTCATCTTGAAGGTTCGACAACTGATAGACTGCTTTCTTCTTTCTCAGGGTTTTTTTATTCTTTTTCAGGTGCGAGTATAATTAAAGAATTAATGGCCCACTAATTGCATCATCTCACCCCCCCCTAGCGTTAGTCCGCCGTCCACAGCCGTCCGCGGTTTGTTATATGTCGCCTTTTGTTCCGACCCGGTCCTTCTTGATGACATGTCTCCATGTTTTCTTCGGGGCTCCTCGAGCTCGCCTGCCCTCTACTTTGAATTCAAACGCCTTCCTTATAGAATGGTCTTCAGGCGTCCTCAGTACGTGCTCATATCATCGCAGTCGCTGCTCTCGTGCCTTCAGCTAGATCGGAGCCATCTGTGTGACGTCCCTGACGTCCCCATTACTGATACTGTCTAGTCGTGTCCAGCCGCAACCACATCTGGGCATTCTCATTTCAGCTGAGTGGAGCTGCCTTTCATGGTTCTTGCATATGGGCCAGCACTCACTGCCGTAGAGCATTGCAGGCCTTACCACTGCCCGGTACACCTTGCCCTTGAGCGTTCTCGAGCACCGCCGCTGGCAGAGGATGCCTGTGGATTCTCTCCATTTCATCCAGACCGCGTCAAAGAATTAATGCCACCATATAACTAGTATAGTTGAGCATAGAATCAAGCAATTCATCGAGTGGCGAAATTTTTGGCACCTGTAAACTATTCCCGCGACTGAATATTACGGGTGGTGGGTGTTCATTAATGAACCGTAGTGACTCCCCACCGAAGAAAGGAGCAACCGCTACGTGAGAGTCACCCAGACCAATGGCACGAATCTTCCCTCCGCAGTCGCTGACAATTCGACACCCTCCGGCCTGTGTGCAGCACCTGACTCAACGATAATTTTTTTGCATCAACTGGCACCAAATGGCATCCAATACTAGAAAAAAAAACGGAAACCAGATGTAGTGGAACAGAAAATAGCTTCTAAAAACGCTGAGTGTGAAATTAGGCCAGTGTAAGCAATGCATGACGAGCTTTTGCATCTACACGATTGCATCAGTGCAGAATTTGAGCGGAGCTCAAACGCATTCTAGCCTCGCGAAGTAGACTGATATTGTTACCTTGCTTCTGAAAAGGTATCCCGGGAGAGCAGAGCAACTCGCCAGCTCGCAAAAAATCGACAAGCTGAGATTTGCTCC